ATTTCTGCATGGATGAGTATAAATTGTTACATGTATTGCGTGATCATTTCCTAAACTTGATCCAAATATTATAAAAATTTGGTAATCGGATATGACTTATATAGGTCGCTTAGGAAAGTGGAGATCAATCAAAATTATTAATAATAATAAATTCAGTGATTCAATAATAAATGAATTAACTTCAAGATCCGTAAATTGTGATTAATCACACTAAAGATTAAATAATGGAAATATTTGGATAAGAAATTACCAATAATAGTGATATGGGGTAAAATTATGAAAATACCCTTTTACTGAAAAAGGACCCAAATATCCCCTATTGGTGAAAATAACCTCCAGTGATCAAATGAAAAAAATACTCTGAATTCTAAAGGAACTAGAATATTTTCAAGCCTAAGTTATCCGAAGTAATTCCACATACATAATTGGATAAAATGACTATAATACCCTTAAAGTGTAATATGATTTGAAGCACATCCAAGCCCTGGAATAACTAATACCCTAATCTCTGAAATGAACAAATCAACCTCGTATACTAATATGATTATATTATATGATCAAATTAAATGGAACAAAAGTACAATATGTATCCAAAATTCAGAAACGTCCGAATTACTCTGGAAAACTCTGAAGTGATCGAGATAGACTTGACTACTAAATTAACTAGGTAACCTAAATGACTAAGGATTAAGTAAGTGATTTGGGTAAGTCTGGAAATGATGATGAACGTACATGATGTACCGTTCCTAAGGGTTATAAACCACAAAGCTAGTACGTCAACATTTCTTGATATTGTTGAAATGTTGAAATGAAATAAAAACCATTGCAATATATGTTTGTCTCCCTAATATATTTAGTAATGATTCTAAAGATGATTTATGGACAAGAGTTGTTGGTATTAAAAAGTGAATACTCTGGAAGAGCAACGATTTAACTGGTTCATAGGTATCATTCATGGGACTTTTACAGTTCGAGTTAACTTGATATTCTGATAGATCGACACAAATTATAAATGCCCTGTATCTTCATTTATCCCTTATTAGTTCAAATCACTAAGAATTCTCCAAGAACTTATTGCCCAAAATGTCATTGGTTTCCTAAATAATGGAATCACTCTTGTTATATCTGAAAATATGAGTAACTCATATGCAAAGGATTCTGAATACCTTTCTGATCTCCTAATGTCTCCGAAAATGTCTGAATACTATATGCTCCTGATAAATCACGTTCTGAATAACTGATGATCATATTAGCTAATAAATTCTTTCGATAGTGATCCTAAATTCTGACAATCTATCAGTATACTGAAGATCCATGTTTCTCTGTCCGATAAGATTATCTTGTATCTCTAAATAATATCTGGAACCTCTAGTGTGTTCCCTGATCACATAGATGTTTTCTCTAATTTCTGTTCTAATTTCTGTTCTGATTTCTGATATCTCTGTTTATTGACTAAAAATGTTTTATTTGTGATACTCTGGGATCTGGAATGAAGACTCTGGCAGTTTCAGTCGCTGCGAGTAATTCCTTGTATAGGTTCTGCACCGACTGGTAATTTTTATCTCTAGCTGGTTTAGTCGCTGTTGGTAATTTCTTTTATAGGTTTAGCACCGACTGATAATTCCTTATGGACCTAAGGCTAGGGGTATAAACGAGCCGAGTCGAGCTCTAGTATTACCGAGCTCGACTCGAACTCGAAAACTTTAAATACAAGCTCGACTCGACTCGAAAACTCGCGAGCCTAAAATTTTCAAGCTCGACTCAAACTCGAAAGATAATATTTAAACTCGACTCGAACTCAGAAAGGCTCGAATTCAAAAAAAATCAAGAGCTTGATTAAAGCTCGATTCAAGCTCAATTTTGAGCTCGATTCAAGCTCTAAGACATGTTAACTTTCATTTGCTGAAACCCATCCCCCTTTTATACACTCTCTTTACACCTTATTCCCCAAGAACCACCAATATGGGATATCGACTCACAAAATGACCAACTCAAGTTCAACCCCTTATTCCCATCTTACCATCGCAATGCTGGTTATGGATACTTGGCAATACTTTTTGCACCGATACTTCCACGAGAAGTCGAGAACAAATTCCTCTATCAGCACATGCATTCTCGGCATCACCATCTTATCGTTCCCTATGCATTTGGAGCTTTGTACAACCTTCCATTAGAGGAGCTTATCCTTAACACAGTAGGCAGGGCCTTATCATTTATGCTCTCTGGGACTCTGGCATGTCTCTTCGGACCTCCATCATTTTCTTCTCTTTCGCCACCATCAAAACAGTGGACGACCATTGCGGGCTAATGCTTCCCGAAAACCCCTTCCATATATTCTTTAGAAACAATTCTGCATATCATGATGTCCACCACCAGCTTTATGGTAGCAAATACAACTTCTCGCAGCCCTTCTTCGTCATGTGGGATCGAATTATGGGGACCTATATCCCTTATTCTATTGAGAAGAGAGAAGAAGGGGGATCCGAAGCTCAGCCACCTAAAGTGTTAAAAGAAGATTAGATTGAGAATTCGTTTGTCTGTTAACTAGCTTGATTTCTTGCATTAAACCAAGAATGTTGTTCCATATTCAGAATACCCCAAACCCAAATTCAAACAGAAGAGATAACCTAAGAAGACAAATGCCAAACTAAATGCCATTGCCATTGCCCAACCTTCTTAGCAAGAAGAAACCTTTGGGGTTTTTTTTCTTCCGAATAAGGGAAAAGAGAGGGAAGTAGTGTCGCGTGGGTTTTAAAATAAAAGGTAGGGTTGGTTTGTGTAATAAAGAAAAATGGGTTAGCCTTTGTACCTAAAGTCCCTAAGATATCTGAAATTGACTTCAACTTTAACCTTATTTAAGAATTGGTCACTGAACAAAAATTAGAAATTTAAGCATATTTTCCCAAATTTTAGAGTTTTCAATTTGGGGAGTTGCTAGCTAAATTATGGTACGAGAAAATATTATCATACTCATAATGACGAGTATATTAGAGTATAATAAATGTAATTATTCTATGTAATGTGTTTATTATGTATAGAATTCGTCGTAATGTCGATAAAGTTTTAAGAAATAAAATATTATATGAAATGTATTTCAAGTATATTTCTAAAATATTAATAATTTTGTAATAAAAAGAAAATGTTGTTCTCCATAAGGGTTTTGAGTTTAAATAAATGTATTTGTAGGATGTGTAAGCATTGTTAATTGATTAAGAAAATTTTAAACATATATTACTTTATAATTATCGCAAATTCTACTTCCATTATAAAACGCTTTAATTGTTTATAATTATATATATCATAATCCTATCATGTATTTACCTCGACTATTCGTATAATTCAAACTCTTCATTTTTCATTAAAAATTGGTGATTGTATGCTATTGATGTTAACCTGTTGACTAGGGTATGATAAAATATGATCCCATCGTTTTAGTTGTATTTGTACATCAAATCTCTGTTTACATTATGTCGTCGAGTCAGATCTTGAAATATTATGCTGGTGTGTCAGTGCTTGAAAGCAATGACGGTGTGGATAGCCATCATTAAGATATGATAAAATCATATCTCAATCAGCAAGTTTTGTATATTTATTTTTCATGTTGGTATGTTTATGTATAAGTATGCAAATGATTTATTTAGGAGTCACATAACATCATTTTGCATAATTTGTATGTTACCTTCATGTGCATAACTTAACCCCTATCATATAATCAAATTTAGGGTTTAAGGTTTATGATTTAAGGTTTAAAGTTTAGGATTTAGGGTTTAGATTTTAGGGTTTAGGGTTCATTACAGATACATTAATTAATCGACTTGGTACCGATTTATGAGGCAAGTACAATATAGTATCTTGATATTAAATGCATTACAATATGGTTAAGTTTTATTATAGAATTTTTTAATATATTTTTAAAATTTTATAATTATCAATAATGTATTTTTAATAATGTCATTTTAAAAAATCTAAAATTATAATATAACATTTTTTCGAGCTGCTCACGAGCTTTTTGAGTCGAATATCGAGTAGCTCATTTTGGCTCGTTAAGAACTCGAGTCGAGCTTGAGCTCGAGTCCATTCAATCCGAGTATTTATCAAGCCTTAATCGAGTCGATCTCAAGTAGCTCGCGATCTATCTCGTCTCATTTACAGCCATACCTAAGGCGACCCTTTGGTGGGCTCTGAGGCCCCGAGAATCTTTCTTAGGTAGGCTTTTTGGCCCCAAGGTGCTCATTTAGGTTATGCAATTCTGGGGAGCTCCATATAGCGTTCGGTTGGAGAGACTACTATGATTTTGAAAACATATTTTAAATGGTTACTATTTTAAAAAGATCTATATATTTTCACTGGTTTTGTGAGAACACACTAGACGCCCTATTCTGATCTCCTGAAACCAAACATCTGAAATATTTCTCTCTGAACTGAAAGCTTACTATCTGTTACTACCTGAGATATCATTGGGACCTCAGCTCAGCATAAAAATTTGTATATGTCTGAATCAATAAGAAAGCATATGCTTATATGTTATATGCATGTTTTGTAGCATCAATTGATAGTATTGTATTACTGAGTTTTCCAAAGCTCACTCTATTACTCACTATTTTAGGTTAAAAGGATTGAACCAGTGCAACTATCGATATCGGTAAGGGAGCTCCACCGCCATTGCTTACGGAGTACGGTGTATGTGTTTAGGGGGCATACAGGTTGTATTTTGTTTTTATATTTGAGTATGGAAATTTATTTTATTTATGAATATTGGTAAACTTTACTTTTGTATTTTTAAATGATTTTATAATTTTACGTGTTTTATCATAAATTTTAATTTTTCCATGATTTTTACGGTGGGCCGCTCTGGTGGCCCTAATGTGACACCTCAAATCGGATCGGGTCACCCGTATCGGTCTGAGGGGGTTACATAACAAATTTGCAAAATTTTTAACTTTGAAGTTGAAATTTTTGCAAGAGAAATAATCAAACCAGCTTCACCAAAAATCCATGGAATGAAACCTTTCAACCTCACCTTCTTTGATCAACTCATCCCACAACTTACGCTACAAATATCTTATTCTACTCCGTTAGTGATACCAGTTTCACTCCCACCATTATCTGGTCAGATTAAAGAAAACATGTTCATCGACAGTTTTGACGAAGGTGTTTCATTTTTATCGGCTCAAGCCGGCTGTCAATTTTCTGAGTTCCTCAAGTATCATGAGGTTAAGTCATTGAACAAATTGCTTCTGTGCCATCCTTTCTCCAAGGAATTTAGAAATAAGGTTCCTCCGCTTGTGTGCCAAGCCACCATTTTCGCTTATGATGGGATAACCATAGGGTTAGCCACTTCTCATAAGTTCCTTGATGGGAAGATAATGTTTAATTTTGTCAGTGTTTGGACTACAATCTCTCGAGGATCCTATTATCGTGATGTTGGATTTCATGGTTTAGCTGAGGCATCCAAGGTGTTCCCACCACGAAATGAAGTGCCAAAAATTTACTTGTCCATGATAAAAAACTTGTGGTTCATGGAATCTAATAATTACATTACAAAGAGATTCACATTCGATGCCAAATCCATAAGCGAGTTGAGGGCCGTTGCTAAAGGGGAACTCTAGGCTACACCGTCTCGGGTTCAAGCTTTATAAGGTTTTATGTGGAAACATTTTATTGCAGCGTTGTGGTTGATCTTGACATCCTCGAAAACATCTATAGCAGTTCAAGCTGTGAACCTTAGACCAAGAATGAAGCCTCCTTTATTACATAATTCGATTGGAAACATGTTCTGATGGGCAAGTTGCGTTGTGGATATTGTTGACAAGACCAACACTGAATTATTCGAGTTGGTCAAGTTGATGCGAGAATCCGTGGAAGCTTTCAACAAAGAATACTTGAACTCATTACAATGGGAGCAAGGTTTGAAGCCATAGGGAACTTAATTAACCAGATGGAAACCATGTTTTCCTATGAAAACAAACATCTTGGCCTTCACAAGTTGGTGTGATCTCAAGCTTTACGAGATTGATTTCGGGTGGGGCAAGCCGTAATGGGTTGCTCCATTTGAGTAAGTTGCGTTTGATTTTAGAAACCTCATTGTTTTTGCCCAATAAAGTGTGGGAAAGACATTTAAGCTTGGATAACAATTGATGAAAAAAGGATGTGTTTGTTTGAGAAAGATGCTGAGTTCCTCAAGTTTGCATCTCTAACTCCCAAATTTTAAAGTCTTCGATACAAATTTCCTTCCAATACTAATGCTTATGATGTTGTTGTTTGTGGATCAATAATTATAAAAAATAAATATATGGGCATGGGATAATCCTCAAATTATACGGGCATAACACATATAATAAATATATAAGAGGTTTATTTATCCATTGTTATGTTTTATTATAATCAATGTTAAGGTATCCTCAATACCTTATATCGTATATGCAAAATTATTTTTAAGTTCTTTGGTTATATTATCTTGTGTAGTTTTTCAAGTTGATGGACAATGGATGATGGTTCTTGGCTGTGTCAATATGTGGTGAAAGGAAGGGTTTAGAAATGGTGGAGGTGTCGAGAGATTGAAGATGAAGTTGAATGATGGTGGGGGAAGGTTTAAGGGGCTAATCAAGCAATTAAGTCTTTTTTGAATAATTACAAAATTGAAAATACCCAAAATAACAATATCATTTTGTACAAATAAATAACAAGTTACAATCCCAGTACCCTATACATTCTACCCCCAAGCCACACAGTTAGCACGACTGAGCTGGCTTACCTTGCTTCCCCATGCATCGATAACTCTCAGTCTCACCATCTCTTTCTACCTACACATAACCTCTTCCTCTACTGCACTAATCCTTTGGAAGATTCCAAAATTCATTTCCTTCTAAATCAATGAAACCATTCATTGACAAGTGAAAAATAAAAGCTATCATTGTTTTCTTCTGGCTTATTGCATGCCCAACCGAACTCCCAATTCTATCCCATGACACTGTCTCTAATAAAAAAAATCTAATTTGCAAGATGTGCCTAACACAAACTCTTGCAAGAAAGGAAAAGAAAATTTTGCTAGAGGTGCCTAACACTGGCTTCAGTAAGAAAGGAAAAGAAAAGAATGCTGGAGGTGTCTAACACTCACTCCAACAATGAAATAAAGAGAAGAAGATGTAGTGACAACACTGTTAGATTTAGTAAGTGAGCAGGGCCACATTTTTCTAGTTTAACTAAGTATTAACTAGATACATTTTACTTGCATAGTATATGACACTATAGATTTTTATTCGAGCAATATGACATCACATTCTTTAATTGATGATCATGCGATATTACCACATTGGTGGAAGCAATCTAAAATCTCGAGAACTAAAAAAATGAGTTAAGAAAATCACAACTTGACAACATAATTTCATCATTATTGCATTTAATGCATTAGTTTTAAGATTGTACTTTAGCATTTTAGGATCATATTTAGAGTATTCTTTTTATATTTTGCATCACATGCATGTTGGGAGTGAGTTGGTAGATTTGGGGCTAAAACTGATGCATTTTGTTATTACATTGTTGTAACTCTAATGTTGTGTGTTCTCTAATGCTGCTGTTGAAAACATTTTGATATTTCGATATAACAAATTAAGATAAATGAATTTTAAGATTTTCCAAAAATATTTTCTAAGTATATTCAATATAATTATTCGAATATCAAAATATTACTCCAAATCTTTCAAATGTCATTTTTAATCCTTACTCAAGTGTAAAATTAAGTTTTAAACTTAAAATAATTTCAAAATAATTTTACAAAATATTTTGAACCATTTCAAAGCCAAAAATTCCAGATTGCTCAGAGGGAACCGATTCCCCCCAAGGGGGTACCGATTCCCCCTGAATGGTTTGGCTCCGAGAAAAACATAATGCTCGGAGGGAACCGATTCTCCCCACGCTCCAAGCTGTTGTATTAATTAATTTCACACTAAAACGACTCTATTGACTCCACTAATCATCCCCAACATTCAAAATCATTTGAAGGTGTATTTAAACAAGCTTAGAAGCCATTGATCAATAACAAGAAACAAAAATCAACAAGAATCAAGAGAGAATCAAAGAGAAAGCATCAAACCTTAAGTTTGAGCATTTTCAAGCCTATTTCATTCAATATTCATTTTTGCTTTCAAGAACACTTATTGTGCTTAATTGTATTATGCTTGAGTATTCTTTCTTTGTTCTAGAATTGTGCAAACATCTTGCCTTGTGAGGATTTTCTTGTAAGTTTGCAAATTTTGTATTGTTCTCTTTGGGAGAGAGTTTTCTCAAGAATTTGGGGTATAATTCTTGAGGGATTTGTAAGGTTACTCTTTGTCCTCAAAAGAAAGACAAATTAGTGAATTTGTGGAAAATCCTTAGTGTGGATAGCTAAGGTAGTGGACGTAGATTTTTCTTGAGAAAGTTAAACCACTCTAAATCGCTGTGTAATTACTTTTATTTAAGCTTCCACCAAAATTTTAATTGCCAATTCACCCCCCTCTTGGCCGATTTCATCATTCAATTAACTCAATAATTGGTATCAGAGCCTAACTTATTTGAAGGTTTAATCGCCTCTTGAGTCAATTTGGGAAGATTTACATCGATAATCAAAGTCATCAATGGCCTCCACTTCAAACGTCGACTTCGGTCTCGATTTGATGCCCGTCAACAAGCCTCCTTTCTTCAATGGAGCTAACTATTCCTATTAGAAGAATAGGATGATGTATTTCATTCAAGCCAGTCACATTGGAGCATGGAATGTTGTAGAAGACGGATATATCAAGCCTCTCACTCATCCAAGATTGTGGAGTGAATGATAGACAAGAATATTCCAGCTCAACTCCAAAGCCATCCATATCATATTTTGTGCTCTTGGACCAGATGAATATGGAAGAGTTTCATCTTGTACAACTGCCAAAGAAATATGAGATAAACTACAAGTCACTCATGAATGCACCGATGAGGTAAAAGAATCTAATCTTCTAACACATAGCTATGAAAATTTCAGGATGAAACCAAATGAAGATATCAAAGCTATGAAAGATAGATTCTCAACGATTGTCAATGGTCTAAAATCATATGGAGAGATCATTCCAAACGAAAAGCTTATGAGAAAGTTAGTTTACTCACTTCCAAAATCATGGTAATCCAAGAAGACGACAATCATCGAGGCTAAGAACCTAAAGTCCTTAACTCTTGAAGAGCTAATCGGTTCTCTCCTCACTCATGAAATGATGCTTGAAGATGAGGTGGACCTCGATAAGATTGATGAGACACCAAAGGAGAAGGAGAAGAAGAAAAACATTGTAATTGCTCTCAAATCCACAAAAGATGAGAGTGATTTGGATGAAAATGATGATGACGAGGAAATGGCATTGTTTACCAAACGGTTCAGAAAAATGATGAGATCTTGTCGAGGAAGAAAATTCAAACGAAATGAAGGTTTCAAAAATGAACCAAAAGAGAAGGACCCGATCATTTGCTATGAATGTAAAAAGTAGGGGCATGTTAAATATGATTGCCAATAATTGAAGAGAAAGGGTCAATCAAAGAATAAGCACAAGGCTCATGTGGCTACATGGAGCGATGAAGAAGGTTCCGATGAAGAGGAACAAGAAGTAGCAAACTTGTGCTTAATGGCATTCGGGGAAGATTCTAAGGTAACCTCTAATTCATCTGATTTTGATGAATTATCTTATGATGAGCTATTAGAGGAATATAATGGGTTTGCTTCGGATTATGAGAAATTGTTTTTAAAATATAAAAATGATGTTTCAAAATTAAAAGATGAAAATAAACTCATATCCAAAACCAATAACGATCTTGAAAGTAAAATCAAAGATTTGCAAATCAAACTAGAAGAGTTTGAAAAGAAAATTTTGGATTTGCAAAATTTACTTTCAAAGGTCAATGATGATCATCAAAAGAAAATTGATGATCTTAAAACTTCTTTTGATAAAGTTGGAACAAAACGTTTTGAAAATGGAGAAAATTCAAAATCCAACTTTGTTAGAAAACGTTTTAAAAACTACAATCATAGAGGTCCCCGAAGAACCTCTAATGGAAAAATCATTAGAAGTATATGGGTTCCTAAAGAGCTCATTACTACTAAAGATAAGGATATCCTACACAAATGGATACCTAAGGGGACTAGGATTTTGGAAACTAATGAATATGGACCCAAAAGAATTTGGGTACCAAAAATTAGAAATTAATATATATTTGTAGGAAAAGGAGCATTGCTACAAGGCACGAGAAACAAATTCAAACTCATGGTACCATGATAGTGGATGCTCAAGACACATGACCGGAGACAAAAGCCGGTTCATAGACCTTAACGCCAAAAATGGAGGAGAAGTGACTTTTGGTGATAATTCAAAAGGTTACATCGAAGGTATAGGTACAATAGGTAATACCTCTTCAATACAAATTAGAAATGTTTTATATGTTAATGGATTAAAGCATAATCTTTTGAGCATTAGTCAATTTTGTGATAAAGGATTCAATTTCATATTTGAAACTAATGGTTGTAAAGTTATTGACATTGCATCTAATCGGATTATGCTTGTTGGTCATAGAAAAGAAAACATATACATGGTGCATTTAGACTCTA